AGAATGCTGCAGAAGAATATTCACTTTCTCTTGCAGCAAGGAGAGATCTACTTTAATTATTCCTTCTTGCACCAAGGACAAAATAGTTGAAGATTTATCTCTGCCAGGGACTGCCAAAAAACAAATAAATGGATGTGAGAGCAAATCAAACCCATCCTCTCACTAGAAGCCAACCAGCCCCTTTATTGTGGGATATCAGTGTACAGAGGAAACAATTCAAAAAATTAAAACAATTCCAGATTAAAACAATAAAATAACTTAAAACAGGGTAAAAACATAGTAAATATGACAAAAACATAAAACAGCTTATAAAAGACCACAACAATTAAAAACCATGTCCATGTCCATTTAATATAAATTAAGCCCCAGAGGCTCTTTAAAAAAAAGCCATGTTAACTTTTATTCATAAAAATGGGAGTTCTTTAGCCCCATGTGTGATTAAGCCAGACTATCATACTGAAGAGAGGAGAATTTTTCTGCAGCAAATAGCTGTTCTGAACTCAAGCTTTGTGCCTGAAAGAAACCAGTGTTTGTACTCCTTGGACTTTCAGAGTTAAGGCATTTCACAGTCATGGTGCAACTTTCAAAAAGGCCCAGTATGCAGAGATTTATGTTTCACAACTCTGATACAGGATTTTTGTACAACTTTTCTTACTATCCTACACTGGTGCTTTACTGGGAACAATGAATTTTGGGAAACACTGAGAATTATGTGGCAGGATTTTAACTTATGAGTGCAGGAGGGAATGGAAAGGTATACATCTTGCAGTGGCCTTGTATTTGTATCTATCTTGTATTTTTATGTACAGCTTTAAAGTTTTCACTTTTGAGATGAATTGTTCTTCCCATCTCGACGGCTGGTATCCTGTTGGTCTTTCACATGTGCAAATTTCTGTATGGAAATAGTTGACATTTTTTGTCTAATGCAGAGCAATCCACATTCAGTTCAAAGTTGCAGAAGTGGAATTGCTCATGAATGTGCATTGCATATGGATGTGTATGTTATCCCAAGGATCAGCCCTCTTTCACCCTTACTTGACCTTTGATTTCAATTTACTTTTAAAAGGGATGTTTGGGTCAAGATGCCAATAGGGCACCTCCAGTGCAGGAAACTAGCCATGCCATATAAGGACTTCCGTGGCCACATTTGGAGATCCTGCTGGCTCAGCATGGGGAAGCCAGGGCACTTAGCTAGGATAGGTAAATTAAGATTGGAATCTGCATCATTCCTTCACATAGGAGTGAGATGGAGGGCAACAGTCCAGATGTTTAAAGGGTGCTTCCCTCTGGAGGTGACAACCTCTTTGCATTGATTGCCCTGCCATTTCCACACATCTCTGGCAATTCCTCCTCCTGAAAAATCCACTCAAACTCCTGAGAAACTGCCCCGGGACACATTCCACCCTATAAATACACTTGCTTGGGCACCTCAAAATTGATCCAGTTGGAATCAGGCATAAACTCTTGTCAGATTCAAGCTTGACCCACAGTACTGCAGGCTGCGCCACAAAGCAAAGTACTGAGACCCATTCGGTTCATAGTCTTCTCCCAGATTGGAGCCTCGCTTCTGGAATTGGTAAAACATCACCCATTGCAATCCTTTAATTTGTATTTCATGGTTTCTGTACCTCATTTTTGTACTTGTTTACCACAACTTTTATATCTTAGTCCTTGCGAGTAAGTGTGAGCGAGTGTTTTGCATGTGTGTTGATTCCCCTTTTAATTAATAAACTAAACTAATTTGCAACCTGCCTCTGGAGGTCTTGAGTTTGGAACCATTATACATAGGCTTGTCTCCTGGCTTTAGAGTTGCCCGAAGC